TTGGCATTGAGCTTTGACGTCTTCTTGGTACACAAAATAACCACACAAAAGAGTGGCGTGATAAATCGACCAATGTGCGATACCTATCAATCAAACATTTTATACTGGACCGTCTTCAGAAGCAACTGACGGTCTCACTATAATGAAATTTTATCGGATATCGAACTGGTTTCTAATGTGTAGACGTGTAGACCCATGCTAGAAATTCATAGCCATTTTTCATGGGTAACTCAACAAATTATTAAGAAAAGATCTTCAGTTTATTTTCCGCTCATTTCGCACTATCTGTTTCTCTCTGAATCAGTTCTTAGTCGCTATGAAGCGTAACCAACAATTTTTTTGGGAAAAACTAATCTCATTCATCTTCAAACGATGCCATTTTTATTGAAGATCATTTTTGAAACACAAGATAGCCCCAGTCACCAGTTGAGTAGCATGACTCAGATTATTATGGACAAAAACGGTAGAAGACAGAGTGGGAGTAAAGACGTTGCTGTAAGGATAATCCTACTGCCTGAAAATTGATAGTGTTACGAATTCAAGCTAAAACCTCGTCCAGGCCAGTCCCACCTAGTTCAATAAACCAGGTGAATGAACTTACTAAAACTCCCACTTAAGTCCATCCGGGTCCGGGACCCACCAATCGCTACAGGGTCGCATTCCGTTCAAAATCATTCGTCGGGGATAAAACCACAAGTCATCCAAACAGGAACCTATGCATTTGTAAATTGTAATTAGGGAGGCATTCTATTTTTGGTAGTTTTCAAACTCGAAAAATAAAAAATTAAAGAGTATACTTTAGAGAGATAGGAGCGCATTTTTCTTCTTTCTTACTCCCTCCCTACCGCTCCTTCTCAAAAGTAGGCCAACAGAATTATGAAAGGCGGTCGATTGCATGGCGGATCGTGGAGGGTTTGCCAACACCTATCTTTACATCTTTATTCCATTACACTTCCGATAAGTAGGCAAACACGATTGCCGTTAGCGAGCATTAATCAAATAAGATTTCACGCCTTAACTGATACATTTGGCTGAGAAGTAAATAAATCATGGGGAATGTAGGCATGTGAGCGGAGCAAAAAGTGAAGAAGCGTTTGATGCTGAGAAAAACCACAACAGAGAGAAAACCGAGAAAGCCGCTCTATTACACTGAGGCGTTTTATTTGGAAATCATTAATTCACTTTGACAAATGACGGACTTTTGGTGGAAGTGAGCGTTCCACAGCTTGCCTACTTTCACCACGGGATTCATGAGAAACAGCGACCTCCACGTTTTCTTCACTGTTCATGCCGTTTAGGGGAATTTTCTTATTGTTGGATATACAAATGTAGATGAACCAAGGGACCGTTGGCTCCAGAAAGCTGCTACAATTACTGATTTCGAATGAGAACGATTAGAGGGCAGGGATCAGATGGGTTGGCCCTGCAGGTTCTGTATGTGTAGTAAAGAACATTGGTCCGTGAGGAGGCGACGAATGGCGTTTTAACAATTAAATACAGTTCAGGCAAGAGCTCAATCTTGTCGACTCCGCCCATCAATGTTGGGGGCGGGGTTTGCGAGCTTTCAGCTATGGATGAGCAATGCCACATGTGAACCCATATAATCTGTCCTTTAATTCACTTCAAAGAGTCGGTCAAAGAGAAAATCGAGGTTCTCGGCAATCGGAAAAAGCGCTCATTACTTACCCAGTCCCTGGGGTCCTTTAGGAAGAAGGGGCTAACATCGGGGAAACCACAAGGTGAATAAAGCTACTGTGCCATTTCTGGCAGCATCGACCTCGAGTGAGAAAATCATTGAAGGAAGCGCAACTGTTAAAAAACCAATTTTAGGAAGAAAATTTTATTCTTTATACTGTTACTGTAGCTGCACTGGTAATACTTAATTCGAGGTGTTTACTTTGGGGTATGTAACCGATTTTATCGTAAAATTATGGGAAGGAATTCTGATGATAAAGATGGTGATGGGTAGAGGTGGTGTAGTGGCAAATGGAGCCCTCACACACGCGTAGGGTCCGGGGATCGACTTCTGGATCGATACACGGAAAAGCCAGCCAAGCCTGACATCTCTCCGGAACCGGTTAACTGGTACCAGACTCGTCTGGGAGGATAAAAGCACTGACTTGTACATCGCTGGCCACCGCAAGTCATTACATAGGCCACACGCATTAAATACGCCACAACGGTTCTGAATGGAAGTTGGATACAGAGAAGCATCCCAGAATTGGTGGGCTGGTAAGCTTCGAAGGCTTAGNAGCAAAAACCGAATTTCACGGAGCTCGTTTATGTTCTTACACTTACCATCAGTCTAGTCGAGCCTCGCAGAATTCGGTTATTCCATTATTCTAAGGAAATCAAAATTCTGGCGATAGTATACTGGTATATTGATTTCGCTTGAGGTACAGTGAATAATTATAATCCTCTTCGAAAACGAGCTTTTTATCCACACAGATTGGTCTTTGTGGTTGATTTTTTGATAAGTGGAAAGCACTTCTATGAAAAAAAAAGCCATTGGAAGATTAGTATTATACTCCAAAAATTAATAAAACTGATTAAACATACGTGCTAGCAATCGCGAATTTCCATCAAAAACAATTGAGTATTTACTCTAAGAAATATTAATTATGGTTGTGTAGAAAGCAAATGAGCCGAAATGACAAATTGTTTCGCTTTAGTAGTGTGACAAGGGCAAATAGATGTTCAAAGGTGTCAAAGGTGTTGCTGCAGCGAACGGGGACCAAACATCGAACGTAAAGTGGTGACAATTGTGATTTCAGAAGGTGCGAGTTCAAGAGAGCCTCGTCTACGAAGACCAGAAGGAGTTCGAGAAAGGGTAAGCTGCTTTTCCAAGCTTGATGAGGACTTCTAGAACCGTGTAGAACTTCTAGATTACTGATTATAAGGCAGACATCATCAGGTCAAAAATACGCTTATTCGGACTCGCTAACTTAGTTTACCGAAGTTTTCTGTTTATTATTATTTTTTATATGGGGCTTTTTGTATTGGAAAAAAAGAACAACCAAGTTCAAATTACCACTCATTGAACGATCGCATATAAAAATTATAAGATTCACATTGAATTCTGTTCATAGGAGTGCTTAGTTACTGAAAAGTGAAAGTGTCATAAGGAAATACAACTAAACCTATGTAATGACCAGTTACTGCAGTACTGAATGGTAACAGACGTTGTAGAGTCCCGTGTTCAGAGTTCTAATCGACTTTGCACTTTTGAATAACTTCCGAATTAGTTCTGGAAATCGGAAACAGTCAAAAACTGGCCCCTGCTAAACGACTGAGGCGAAATTCCATTAGCACCATATGACAGTGTGATAAACAATATGGAAAATCTTGTATAAACTGGGAAGTGATGTTATCTTTTTTTCAGAAAAATTTGAGATTACAGTAGTCCAGGTTGTAGTGCTGAAAATCCACCATTGACTCGCTTTCAGCTTTGCATGATTCCATGTAAGTATAACAATAGCAACGGGACATAGTAGTATTATTATCGCTAATTACTACTAAGAATTATCATCTATTTTTATATTCATCTCAAATAGCCGTGCTCTTCATTCTTTACTTTCTTTTCTATAAGGGTGGTACTGTCCATATGGATAGTCGCTTCCCTGTGGAAAAAAAATTCTCTTCGAGATAGTTTGAATACCAATAATCCAAGTCTCGGACAAATGCTACCAATTCCAGGTCTTGGAGATCGACTGTTTATGTGGGATTGTTTTGGGGATAGTCAAGATGTTCAAGATGGCCCTACTGGTTGGTTCTTTGAAAATTTCAGGCTCCCACTCAACCGACATGTCAAAACATCGGCACCTTGAATACTGTAAACCTTGGAAAGGCTTTAAAAGCGTCATAAGAATTGTTTCTTAAATTTAATTGAATTTAAAAATTATATCTTTTGTTTTTTAGAATACTGTCATCTTGTTTGTGTGTACAGAATAGTGGTTTTCCCTTTGACAAAAAAAAAAACACACACACACACAGGATGCCTTGCGAAAAGGACCTCCTGTGTGTTTTTGTTTTGTCTATCAGCTGCATGTGGAAGGCGTTCTATACGGAACTGTCCATTCTTGAATGCCATAAATAAAACAAATTTCAGTTGTATAATATTTACAATATTTTTATTTTTTTTTTAAAAATGATATTAACTGTATTTGAAGTGATTTTGTGCAGAATAAGAAGGAAACGAACAGAATCCGTCCATTTTCGAGTAACAGCATGGAATTTTACTCTACACTTCTGGAGTACCACTATAACAGATTAAGTAGTGCTTCTGAAAGTAATTTTCCCATACCAGATTCACTTCCTAATGTCATCTACGATTTGCCATTCAGCTCGGCTTGACACACATGGCCGTAACTCATTCACCTTCAGCTCTCATCGTCTCACCATAGTTTCCATCTACAATTCCGTTGCTATGGAGTGCTCTACCACGCCGCTTACATCTGACCTCGCAATTCCTTCCTCTTGTGCAGCTGCCCCGGTACTTTTCACTTTTCAACAACATTAAATCCTCATTTATTTTGTAATTTAATGTATAAATATTGTATTTCATTTGTTTATCTCAATTTTTTTAATTGCTTTACTTCCCGCCCATTTGGGACTCTGCCATACAATGCAACAAGAGGAACTTTGACTTAAATTGGCACGAAACTGATTTGGTTGCTTGTTTTGTATTACTTGCTGCTTTCAATTTACTGCTGTTTAACAATTTTTGGATTGTAAACTGGTCAGCTTCTATTATTTCGAAGCAATACATCCTTCAAACAGTGTTGGTCCATGTCCCACTAAACTACCTGTCATTTAAGGCTTTCCAGGCTATATTGCCCAGTTATGTATGATTATTTAGTCGCTGACGGAGAAAAAATAAGCGTTCTGACAGCCCGTGTTTTTACCGAGTGCTCCTGATCGTTCTTTTTTTCGAACCATGTTTTCAGGAAATGGTCTTACGACCGTCGAGCTCGAGTTGGAGTGTGGCTCCAGAGACGATAATGAGCCATCACTACAAACTGAATCGTGGAGTAAAAAGCGTGATCGATACGAGTCCACCTTTTTCCATGTATAACAGTCCAATAAGTAAGTCGAAGTTTATTTTGAGCTTTTAACTTTCGCTCTGTTGAAAGGGGTCTAAAAAGCAGCAGGGTTTCTCAAACTTACCCTATCTTAGCCTGTTTTACCTAGGTACTCGAGACAGAATGGAATCGAGGCTTATTAATCCTTTTTTACAGTATTAGTTGCCTTGACGAAATGATTTTTTGATATCCCTCGTAACCACCAAAAATTATCAGAAATAAAATTACTGTTGGCTCTTCCGACTTTAACAGGTAAATACGTTAATCAATAACAATATCAATAAGTTAGGTAAATAATAAACAATTTATTAGATTGTTTTGATGATATGCATTTTATAAATTTCCTTAAAGCTTCTGTTTTTGAAAAAAATTTCATGAAGTGCTTAGGGGGTCAAGCAGGTGATATCGACTTTTATTTTAAGATTCTGGCTGGAAAGAAAAAGTTCACACTGGAATATGTACTTATCGAAAAGTTTCATTTTCACACCGAATTTCTCATTCAAAGCCAGCATCTTGCTTTAGCTCTAGGAAAGTAGTAGCCATAGTTACAGAAGTGTACTCAAAAAGATTCGATGCGTTGGACCGACTAGTCATTTAATCTAGTATGAAATGTTTGAATTTCCGTAAATGCTTCGTTTTTGCATCAAGGGTCTTTTTGTTTTTAAAAAAAAAACTGTGTTTTGTCATTTGGACGGGATCTCTAAGAATCTAATCGGTCGGTTATTCGGGAATCGAATGTGAGGAATATAATAAGGTTTCTCAAAACCGTTTCGGAACTTACATCTTAATTGATTCCCGGTTTTCACTCTTCCTCGGATTGAGGATTTTCCGCACACCATCTTGTTTGTTGCCTTAATATTTAAAATCAGTTTTGTTTCTTAATATATTTTCTCCTTTGTGCCATTTTCGTTGTCTTAGTGATGAGCAATACAAGCTAATTTAATTTAAAGGCACCATTTACGATAAATTTAGGGTACCCTTTTTTGACGGGAATTCATAGAACTACTCTAGAATAAAGCGATAACAACGTAAAAAGCGCAAAAAACGATGAACAGAAAGAAATAGAAAGGGTCAAAAAAGAGCTGGAAAGAGGGGTTGGACGAGTTTCACATTGGAAGAACGGCGGTTAGGCAGTGTTCGCG